AATACGGTACTTTCTACAGAGTCCCAAGGGTACAAGGTGGGAAACCTCGTCATGGCAACCCAAGCTCCACACGGCTATTAGCTGGTCTGACGGGCCTCTCCTATGGTTTTGGGTGGATCTTTCTTCGGAATTCTCCAAATCACCTGCTCCGGATAGAACTTTGTAGTTTGCTTTAGATCATTGGGTATTTGTCATTTCTTGGCTATTCACATTAGGCTGTGGTCTTCTGCCAATATAAGCAAGGTCTCTTCAATGGAAGTAGTTTGACAACTGTCCTCTTTTCTGTAATGTCTTTAAACCACCAGTACTTGGCCCAGCTATGGGCCACAGGCGTGTCCCGTTAACGCGCCACATTTGGGGGGGGGTCGTTCACATGAACGGCCGGTCGGTGAGAATTGCGACGTAGAAAAGCGAAAACCAAAAAAAACAAACAAACTACTTTTCTGCGGGGGTCGTGGTCACGTAGGTTCTTGGTGGAATGTTTCTGACCGGTCGGTGGAATGTTTCTGACTAGTATTTCAGTTAGAATCCCGGCCTCAGTTCTTCAATTTTCTTAAAAAAAAAAAAAAAAAAAAGATACACCGCAATATTTTTTGCATGGCAACTGGTCGGACGTCTGGACCGGAATCCAGACGGTCCGGTTGTCTGGGTATGGGTCCGGTGTCTGGTCCGGTAGGTCTGGATTGGGCCCAATTTTCAGAAATTCAGATTTTTTTGGGGGGGGCCATAGGATGTTTTTCAGGTCCTAGGCCCCCCCCAAAAAATGCCCCCGGTATTTTTTGGCCGTTTCAGGGCCTACCGGACGCCGCCAGACGCTTCCAACAGCTCCCTCTGCTGTTGTACTACGCTGGTAGTTCATCGGATGAGGATGAGTCTGATTCCAAAAATGAAGCTCTGTTTGCAAAGGGCCACAGAACATCAAGCTAGAGAGAGAGAGAGAGAGAGAGAGAGAGAGAGAGAGAGAGAGAGAGAGAGAGAGAGAGAGAGAGAGAGAGAGAGAGA